TAAGTGCCAGTAAATATAACCTGTTACTGCCAGTAAATATCAGTTACTGCCGGTAACTGCCAGTAACTGTCTGTATCTGCCGGTAACTGCCAGTAACTACCAGTAACTGCAGGTAACTACCAGTAACTGCCAGTAAATGCCAGTAACTGCCAGTAAATGCCAGTAACTACCAGTAAATACCAGTTACTGCCGGTAACTGCCAGTAAATACCAGTAACTGCCAGTAAATACCAGTTGCTGCCGGTAACTGCTACCAGTAACTGCCAACTGCATTAGGAATACCGCAATTCCGGCGGTATTTCAAAGCAAATACCAGAGTATTCACAATAGTTGTGTTGATACAAGCCACAATAGGGCCACTTGTTGCCATTGTGTGGCAACAATGGTGACAATGGTGACAGTGGCGACTATAGTGACCTGTACAATGGTAGCTCATGTTACCCTGGGTACAGCCTGTGTGCAAAATTTTTTTTTATGTTTGTATAGTTGTATACGTAGAGAATATATAAAAATATATAAAATATATTTATATACTTTTCAAATTCTGCAATTAAAAGTTATTGATTGAAAACAAAATATGCTAAATAATATTTAATGTATAGTTGTATACATTTATAATATATAAAAATATATCAAACATATATATTTTGAATATTGTGCAATATTAAAAACTATTTTTTATTGAAACAATGTGGCTACAAGATAATATTTAATAGAATGTCATTAAAATGTGTAAACATGAGGTAAGATTTAAAATCGCCAAACATGTGTGATTTATTACATGTTTTAAAACATTTTGTTAAAACATGAAAGTAATACAAGCTTTGTTTAGTGTATATTATGTCATTATCTAAACATATTACATGTATAGGCATGTATAGGCATATACACACTATACATATTACATGTATAGGCATGTATAGGCATATACACACTATACATATTACATGTATAGGCATGTATAGGCATGTATAGGCATATACATACTATACATATTACATGTATAGGCATGTATAGGCATATACATACTATACATATTACACGTATAGGCATGTATAGGCATATACATACTATACATTTTACATGTATAGCTATGCCATATTACATACACTTATATGTACAATATATGCCCATATATGCTTCATTACATTTACTACTTAAACAATATGCATCCACTATACTTATATATCTATACTGTAGGTATACTGTATATATGCTGAATCGCATGAATATATTCGTATGTATATTCAGATCCTGCTTGTACATGATATATTATTAATATATACAATATATACCAAGGTCAATGGAATATTTTATGTGATATTTTTAAGAGATTTTTATTTAAATTTCACATTTTTGGCCGGCATCAAACTATTTAAATAAGTCTGGTCTAAAACTCAACACAGCCTAAGCGGTCACACATTAAAACCATTAAAACAACTGCTCTTTTAAATAAACTTAGTTTTAAAAGTTAGTACATAAAAAATTCGAATTTTTATAAGTACTCTTTAAAAATTTAAATTTCAAGAATTACTGTTTTAAGAAAAATTTAAGTTTTAAATATAACTGTTTAAAAAATTTAAATTTTAGAAAGTACTGTTAAAAAATGTTCTTTTTAAAAATTAATGTTTAAAATTTTAAATTTAAAATAGAGCTGTTGAAAAAATTAAATTTGAAAATATACTATTTTAATACATTTTCATTTCACAAATTGAAGTTTAAAAAATAAAATATTAGAAAGTGACTGTTTTAAAAAAAGTTACTGTGATTTCACGCGATATTTTAAAGCAGAAAAATAAATAGCGAAATGTGGTGGTCTGCCAGCAAGTGCTGCTAAGTACCTGTGTACAGAGCAGTACAATAGGACAAACGAACGAACATCTTCGCTATTTTTTATACCAACAAACGAACGAACATCTTCGCTATTTTTTATACCAACAAACGAACGAATTTCTTCGCTATTTTTTATACAAACAAACATACACACATCTTCTGTATTATTCATACCGGCTTTCAGATATTTAGATGGAAATAGATACATTGGGCCTAACCCATACAATACAGTACGACTGGTTTATCCTCTTAATGCTATGCTATTCTTACCTCTAATGCTATTCCTACCTGTATCTCGAGGTATCGAGTCGAAATAACCCAGGTTCTATTTAATGTAATGCTATTCTTACCTACATCGAAAGTTTTCCCTCATTTGTCGCAATGGCGAAGTTTCGATCAGTGCAAATATATTTTTTCAAGCATCGAAAATTCGCTTTCTCGTCGTAGTGAATAAGTTTCAATTCCGTGCAATGCTATTCCTACCAGTATCGACCGTTATCTTATCAAAATTTCCAAGTTTTATTTGTGCGTATTGTTATTCCTACCTGCATTGAATGTCCAGCTTCGAGTAGAAATGATCGAATTTCGACAGCGTGTAATGCTATTCCTACCAGAATGGAAAGTTCCTGCTATTCCTACCAGAATCGCCTAACTGGTCATGATTCGATCCTGTGCAATGCTATTCCTACCGAAATCGGAAGTTGACCTGCTTGTCATTGACCAAATTTCGATGCCCTGCAATGCTATTCCTATCAGCATCGAAAGCTCACCTATTACTGAAGCGAAGTGATCAAATTTCGCCATCCTGCAATGCTATTCATACCACAATTGAAGATCGCCTACTTATTGGATCAAAAAGATCAAATTTCGCCATCCTGTAATGCTATTCTTACCACAATTGAAAGCTCACCTACTTACTGAAACGAAATGATCAAATTTCGCCATCCTGTAATGCTATTCCTACCACAATTGAAAGTTTGCTAGCAGCTGAAGGTCGACGAGGCCGCCGCTCCCCAAACGCCGCTCGCTGTGATCAATGAGCGTCCGGCCTTGGGGAGGCCGCCGAAGATTCGCCCAAAATTTTGATACGGGGATAACTTACCTGCATTTACTGGAGACCTAAAACTTACTTACGATGATCGTAAGTTCTACGTTGATCGTAACGCATCACCGTAAATAATAACCTGTTCTTCACACATCCGCCAGCTAATGATTTAATTTTCGAATCCATAGATACCATTTTTGCCATTTATATCTATTTATTATAATTTAAATATAATTCTAAACTGATAGTTATTTATTCTTACCAGTAATCATTATATTAAATGAATTAAAAGCAACATATACGTAAGTGTTGCGCGACAGCTGGACGACGTGTTCCTTATAAAGTAAAGGACTCAGCCATGCAACCCACGCGAGGCCTTCAGTGTTACGTCAGTGTGCGGGCAACCGCTGCCCGGGGTAGACGTGTGGGTGTGCGTGTCGCTCTCCATGGATCAGCACAGTGGCTCCTGCTCGCCTTGGAAGTTTGAGTTCTTACCGATTTTTTTAGACGATTTTAGATTTTTAATTGACGTGTTTAAATATTTAATTAACGTGTAGTAAAGAGACGTGTTTAAATATTTTACTTGACGTGTAGTAAAGAGACGTGTTTAAATATTTAGTTGACGTGTAGTAAAGAGACGTGTTTAAATATTTAGTTGACGTGTAGTGAAGAGACGTGTTTAAATATTGACGTGTAGTGAAGAGACGTGTTTATTATTTAATTGACGTGTAGTGAAGAGACGTGTTTAAATATTGACGTGTAGTGAAGAGACGTGTTTAATATTTAATTGACGTGTAGTGAAGAGACGTGTTTAATTATTGACGTGTAGTGAAGAGACGTGTTTAAATATTATTTGACGTGTAGTGAAGAGACGTGTTTAAATATTTAGTGACGTGTGGGAAAGAGACGTGTTTAAATATTTAGTTGACGTGTAGTAAAGAGACGTGTTTAAATATTTAGTTGACGTGTAGTGAAGAGACGTGTTTAAATATTTAGTTGACGTGTAGTAAAGAGACGTGTTTAAATATTTAATTGACGTGTAGTGAAGAGACGTGTTTAAATATTTAATTGACGTGTAG